ATATATAAGAAAAATCTTTAAAAATCTTCTTCTCCAGAACCACTGGGCCAGGAAAGATGAAACTCATGTGGAATCATCCTCAGGTAGTGTAGATTCAAGTTTGTTCAAATCATGACCCCCGGGGCAAGGATGGGGCCAAAATGGCTGACCCAAGTTTTACATAGGAATATATAGGAAATATCTTTAAAAATTCTTCTCAATTACCACTGGGCCAGGAAAGATGAAACTGATAGGGAAGCCATCCTCAGGTAGTGTAGACTCAAGTTTTTTCAAATCATGACCCCCGGCCCTGGGGATAGGGTGGGGCCAAAATGGCCGACCCAAGTTTTGCATAGGGATATATAGGGAAACCTTTTAAAATCTTCTTTTCAAGTACTTCAAAGCTATGATTAGTGATACCCGGGGTTTCTATATGGAATCATCCTCAGGTAGTGTAGATTCTAGTTTGTTCAAATGATGAATGATTGGAAGGGGGGGGGGAGTAAATTCAAGCCCGATGTGCTCAGGTGAGCGCTGTGGCCCCTGGGCCTCTTGTTACTTTTTATGAATTTTTCTTTGTTCTCCGGTACTTTTTTTGTCCGCGAGTGTTCTTGTAAACTACTCATCCGATCTAGGTGAAACCTTTTTAGGGTCACTAGGTATGTTATGTAGATGTGCGGAACGAAGGTCATTTTGCACGCACGTGCGTGCGTGTGCGCACACGTGTAACACGTGAAATGACCGATATAATAGATATAGACGTAACTTTTTAAATTTTGGATGAAATGCTTTGAAACTCATGATATAAGGATATATTAGTAGTATAGACATGAAGACATGGACAAAATAGCAAGATCTCACGCGCATGCACGTGCGCTTTGCTCCGATTGGCTGAAACTAAAAGTCTAAATATCTATTTTGTTTTCTGACAAAATCCTTTGAAATTTTGAACATAGTCTTACATTATGAATATCTATAGCATGATATATAAGAATAATCATGAACACACGCATATGCATGTGTGGTGCAATCTGATTAGCTAAAACTTTTATTAAATGCCTACAACTTTCTTGGTTCTCAATAATAAAGGGTGAAATTTCGAATATGAATAGATATAATTAATGCCTACATTATACTACTATCAAAAGTAAATGCAAGGACGAGCATGCACATGCACCCGCACACAATGCATTAAACGACAGTATACTTGAGTTTGTGATGTTCATGCAGAATTAAGAACTTTTAAATGTCAAGACATGTAACATACTGAAGCATGCAGATCTTTTGACCCTTGACCTTGAAACTTAGGTCAAGGTCACTGGTAACCTGAATAAAATGTTGATATTAGCTATATACCAAAATCACCTTGACCTATGAACTTGAAATCGACCTTAACCTTTGTCCTTGACCCAAGGGTAAAAGAAACATGAAGTACATGTACATGTATCTAGAAACACCTTTCAGAGTTTATTTCGGTTGGCAGGATAGAAGTTAAAGAGGTGGTGGTTTTTAATGACCTTGACCTTTCATCCAAATGTTACAATCAATCTTAAGTTCTTGGAGTAAGATACAACATTCAACTCCAACGTTAAATAGGTTAAGAATAACCCCCCCCCCCTCCCCCCGCAACAACCAAACAAATCAAATTAATGGCAACGTAGAGAATCGCTGTTAAACTCAAATAACACCTCAGACCCAAATAAAATTTCAGGAAAACTGCAGAAAAAAGCTCGAGGAAAGTGTATTAAAATATTTGATTTGAGTTTCCAATGTATATAGAAATTATTAATTTATACGGAAAAAATTACAAATCCTGTCGTGTTTAAAATTAAAGTGCAGATGAACAAAGTTGGTATATAAGCCTTTTATAGCCTATTTATTCAGATGTCGTTAATAGCATTCAATTCTACTGATTTGAAATAATATTTTGATACCAAGTATCCTTTGTTTATTTTACCTTTGAAATTTATTTGAATTTTTTTTTAGAATTACGCAATCCCCAGAAATAGCGATTTTCGGTATATTAAAAATCAATATACAGGTACGCTTCTTCGTAAAATAATCAGATATTTGCATTCATGAAAAAAATATTAATAAGAAGGTGTTAAACAATATTGGTCACATTAGCTGACATGAATGTCTTTTTAAACATCTCTTGTAAACCCCAGAAAGTAGCCCCTATGCATTGGAAAAAATGAATAGTTCCGGTCAAAAACCTATATATATTTATTTACAAAGTATATAAAATTTACTAGGCACAGGTACCAGCGTTGTCAAAATGGCCTGAGAGGAAATATTAAAAAAAATTCCGAACAGAAAGGAAAATCCGTTTTCCATGTATGGAACTACTATTGAATAAGTTCATTTTGATTGGTTAGCTATCGGCTCGATACCCTTAGTCGACTTTAACCCTGCCTTGTCGTCGGAATAAAACCAACTTTGAGCCCGAGGTTAAAATAAGTAGAGAAATAAAATGTGAATCGATATATTAAAAAATGACATATGCTTGAAAAATAGTAACTTTATATATATTTTTTTCTTTGATTCGTGGGATAGAAAGATATGTTAATCGCTTATCCAACAAGCCATAATCATCTTGCATATGCAAAATGTTAAACGATATATAGTTGATATCATTGTAACTTTTATATTCTTAAATGGAATCCTTGGATACTTAGCATATTTATAAAAGGTCTAAGAGGAATAAGGCACGAAAAGGGACATGGGGAGCGTTTGGGGAACATCTGTAACGGTCCCTGTTACAATTAGCACTAGTTTAAGATGAAATTTCTGGAAATGTATGAAAGTAAAACATGTAGATTCTTTTCTTAGAGGAGAATGCTATTGTACCCCCTGGTACGGAATCCACGGAGCCAGGCCCAGAGAACACAATGATCGACTCCAGGACAGAGGGGAAGCCTGGCAGGACGGTCATACCCCCAAAACGACCCTACAATAGCGGTCCAGGTCAAGTCCATCGAGGCTACCTTAACCCCTACCATCAGAATAATTACAGGCCGTCCGCTCCCAAGAAACCGTTTGATTTCAGCAGAGTAGGAGGTATTTATCAATCAAAAAACATGTATCTCATGTGGTGCTTACATTGCAAGCTTGTCAATTATCCAGAAATTTCTTAAAATGTCTAGCAAATTGCATCAAATCCCGATACAGTGTAAATATATTCATATTGGATGGCCAGTGATGGAGTAATTTATGAGAGTTTTATGATTGACATTTGTCACCCTGATGTTCCAGGATACAGAAAGCCAGACACAGATGCCTTAAGTTTGGAAGTTAGGAAAATTCCCAAGGAATTCAACAACATTTCCGCAATAAATCAGCATTTCTGCAAATTTGGAAACCTAACAAACATACAAGTATGACTACAATTTCAAGAGAAAGTTGGGAAAGAATTAAGAGTTAAGGACCCTCTCTACACTAGTGCAAAATGTTTTTGGACATTTAGAAATATTCTATAAAGGTGTTAATATTAAGCTTCTTTATTTAATTTTCACTATATGGTACGTGGCATTTACTCCCAGGAAAAATAATCAAAAACAACACAGTTTAAGTGAAGAGAAATCACTGTTGTTTACGTCCACGGAGAAAGTACATGTAAATAACATGTTCAATTAATTTATCTTGGCCTTTTAAAATGTTAAGAATACATATGTACTTGAATTGAATCAATTGATTACAAATTGTGTAATATACTGTGAATTTCAAATTTTTTTAGAATTTAGATGTAAGGGCAGATCACACTAATGCCCTGTTCACACGGAGAGTTTAATTGGCAGTAAATTAATGCAAAGTAAACTAATGCGAATCAAACTAATGCGAATTAAATTGCGTTCACACGATAGCTAATGCGAAGTAAACTAATGCGAATTAAAATTTTACTTCTGCAGCCCGGCGTCAGCACGGCTATTATAACGTCATTTGCAAATCACGTCACCTTCTGCAGAAGCAGATCTATTTGACATAATGTCACAGTGTCTGTACACACATTTTAATGATTAACAAAATTTTCCTTAGTTTTTCACTCAAAAATAGCACAAGTATATATAGCTGACCATCGACAAGTGGTATTTGACTAAATTTTGCCATTACGCATGCCCCAAAATTTAATTCGAATTAACTTCGCTTAGCCTTCACACGGAGATAATGCGAAGTAATTTAATGCGCAGTAAACTAATTCCAATAAAAATAATTTGCATTAAATTCACCGTGTGAATGCTAAGCGAAGCTAATTCGCAGTAAACTTACGCTTAATTTGAATTAAACTCTCCGTGTGTACAAGGCATTACTGCTAAATAATACCATAGAATCAAAACTCTTTAGTGTGCAGTGTAGAGAGGATTCTTAATTTTATTAATTATGAATTCTTATTACATTCAGAATCCAACAATTTGTTTGATTTTTAAATTTTAAAATGATGACCTTGTAATGGACGCTATGCCAGCAAAATGGCTAGCCAAAATCCCTATACCTAAAATTAAATATAAATCATAATTCTAAAGTTTTATTAAATTTTATACCCTAACAGTAAATTAGAAAAAACATATTGTAAAGGTTGTTTCATTTTTGATGTGTAAAGAAAATGGCAATTCTTGATTCCTATTTTTCTGAACCAGATAACAGATAATGGAGATTTATAACATGCTAAACATCAGTAGCCAGTAATTTCATGGTTAACATTTTACATTTTATTTGAAATGATGTGTTACACATTGAAAATTTTTTTTGGGGGGGGGATATTGATGCAGAGATTTTGCTACATATGATTTTTGTTGGCAGGTTAATTTTGAGAACGACCCTGAGGCAGCCCTGGTGACTTTCTCCACCAATCAGGAGGCTCTGGCCTGCTACAGAAGCACCGAGCCTCTCTTCAACAACAGATTTGTCAAAGTCTTCTGGCACAAAAATAAAGACAACACTCAAGTAAGACTCCAATTTTCAGCAAATTTATTTTAATTCTTTATCAATTAAATTGAATTTTGCTTATTTTTAACTTTGCCCAG